CTGAAGAACCTTTACTAAAGTGAACTGTGAGAGTGACTAACTTAGGAGCAATTTCCTCAGTTTTGAATACTGCGGAAGGGAGAAGTATGTTTGCTTTGAGGCAGACCCATGGCTTACTACTGAACAATCACAGATGGCTATATATGATGCAGATACAATGCAGATTGTTGTTGAGGGGACAGTTAGCCTAGTCAACTAGATCAAAGATGCCATAACGGCCAGGTGCGGTGGTTCATGCCTGTAACCCAGCACTTTGGGAAGCTGAGGCAGGTGGATCACTTGAGGTCAGGAGTTCGAGACCAGCCTGACCAACATGGCAAAAACCCGTCTCTACTAAAAATACAAAAGTTAGCCAGGTGTGGTCATGGGCACTTGTAATCCCAGCTCCTTGGGAGGCTGGTACATGATAATCGCTTGAACCTGGGAGGCAGAGGTTGCAGTGAGCCAAGATCAAGCCACTGCACTCCAGTCTGGATGACAGGGTGAGATTCATCTCAAAACAAAAACAAAAGCAAAAAAAACCTACCATAACATTAATTTACCCTGAGATGGAGAACTGTCCTTCTTTAAATGCCAAGTGGCGCTCCCCAGATGAAGCAGCTGATATGCTGCATATTCAGGATATATCAAGTTGGCTTCATGATGATCAGATGTTTGTACAATTACCCCAGTTTGAGGCAAATACCATGATTAAGGGGACTCCTTCTGCATGGGCACTCCCTGTCAACTTTACTACTGCAAAATCAAGCAATGGTCCAAGAAGCCATATCAGATTTGTTGTCTCAGCTTCCCCCTTCTGGGCATTATAGAAGCTAAGAAAATGAGAGTAATTCACAAGACAATGGGGAAGATGAAGGAGATATCAAGGGACTCTCATCATAAGTAGTGAGTAAACCTTAAAATGGTTCTTAAGAAATGGGATTGGTCGAGTGCAGTGGCTCATGACTGTAATCCCAGCACTTTGGGAGGCCGAGGCAGGTGGATTGCTTGAAGTCAGGAGTTCGAGATCAGTCTGGCCAACATGGTGGAACCCTGTCTCTAATAAAATACAAAAAAAAAAAAATAGCCAGGCGTGGTGGTAAGCGCCTGTAATCCCAACTACTCAGGAGGCTGAGGCAGGAGAATCACTTGAACCCAGGAGGTGGAGGTTGCAGTGAGCCAAGATCTAGCCACTGCACTCCAGACTGGGCAACAGAGCAAGACTCCATCTCAGCTGGGCACGGTGGTTCACACCTATAATCCCAGCACTTCAGGAGACAGAGGTGGTTGGATCACTTGAGGTCAGGAGTTCGAAACCAGCCTGGCCAACATGGTGAAACCCTGTCTATATTAAAAATGCAAAAATTAGATAGGCATGGTGGTGGGCACCTGTAATCCCAGCTACTCGGGAGGCTGAGGCAGAAGAATCACTTGAGCCCAGAAGGCGAAGGTTGCAGTGAGCAGAGATTGTGCCACTGCACCCCAGCCTGGGTGACAGAGCAAGGTTCCATCTAAAAAATAAGAACAGTCTTAACACCACTATTAGATGTTGGGTGGATCAACGGGAGCCCTTGCTGATCACCTGACACCGAAGGACTCTAAACAAATCTGTTTTATTTCTCCTAATTTGAAGGAACTTAAAAGGCTGAAATGCAAAGATGACACTGAGAAACCTGATCTTGAATCACTAAGGCAACAGCCTGACAAATTAATCAGGATGACCAACCACGCTGGGACCAAGGCTATATGCATGTGTGTGAGTTAAGACCGGGGTGGAAAAGGAACATTTCTAGGACTCCTTGACATGGAGCCCAATGCACTGTGATTCCAAAATCTGTTGGTGACACCCTAATAGGGACTACAGTTAGATTGGGAAGATACGGGGATGCAGTGGTTGACTGTTATTAAGGTGAAAGTTTAAATTAAAACTAGAAGGTCTGAATGGACCTTATGTGAAGTGGTTGCATCTCCTTGCCTGAATACGTAATGGGGAAGGGTATTATGTATGACTGAGGAACACTTCCCCTACCTAGTATTTTAAAAACTAAAGGCATGTAAGTTTGTCCTTCAATCAATGTTATTAGACAGGCCAAACAGGAACCTATAGAATTGCTGAAGCCCACACAGGTTGTTAATTTTTTTTTTTTTTTTTTTTTTTTTTGAGATGGAGTCTTGCTTTGTCATGCGGGCTGCAGTGCAGTGGTACAATCTCAGTTCACTGCAACCTCTGCCTCCCGGGTTCCAGCAATTCTTGTGCCTCAGTCTCCCAAGTAGCTGGGATTACAGACGTGCGCCACCACGCCTGGCTAATTTTTGTATTTTTAGTAGAGATGAGGTTTCACCATGTTGGCCAGGCTGCTCTTGAACTCCTGACCTCAGGTGATCCACCCGTTTTGGCCTCTCAAAGTGCTGGGTTTACAGGCGTGAGCCACCACACCCGGCCAACATAGGTTGTTAATTTGAAACTGTATAGAATACCTGGTAGATACAAGAGATTATCACTTTATTAATAACATGTTAGAAGCTAGAGTGCTGGTACCAACAAATTCTCTATACAATAGCCCTGTTAGATCTGTGCCAAAGGGAGAGACTAACAGTAGATTGTTGAGGCTTAAATGAAGTAGTACCACCGAATTAAAGGACACCAGTACTCTGACTGATTTTGCAAATGCCTTTTTCATTATCCCAATCTTGGGAAAGAGACAACCATAGTTTGCCTTCATGCGAGGAAGATCTCAATTTATAGCTACTGTATTCTCACAGGTTATTTGAATTTACTAGCTTAATATTACAATTTGATTAGGAAAGCGTGGACTTGAGGCTGGTCCTAAGTGTAACAATATACTACATTGATGATAATGATAACATCAGAACCTGATGAACAAATTAGGACTGATTTCCAGCAGGGAAGGCCCACACAGAGAGGCAGCATAGCATGTAGACTCTATCCGAGGGCCACTGGTAGCCCTGGGAGCCTACAAAAGGACCCTGGCAGTGGATAGACATACTTACCCTGGATTGGGCTTTTGCATACCTGTGGTAGATGTAAAGGCTCAAAATACTATAAAACACCTTGAATAGAAACGTGCCAATTGGCATTACTGTGTTATATTTCTTCAGACCAAGGGAAACACTTTACACCCCACAGTGTCCAACAATGTCCAGAGTTCTCACATCAATTGGACATACCATGCTGCAGATCATCCTCAAAGTAGTAGACAATTAGAATAGGAGAGCGATAGAGTTGTTGGCTAAAGTAAGGGAAAGTAAAGTATGGTCTGGTTTGCACTCCTTCATGAGGGTGTGCTTACTCTCAAGATGGGAAAAGCCAAGGATAGTCTCCACTAGAGAGATTCCTCTACTGTCCTGGGCGATTAGGAGGAGAGGGTGTGTGGCAGAATGCTGGCACAGTTACACAAATCTTCCCCAAATAACCTCAACTTTCTTTTTTCCTACCTGATGCAGTGGTCCTGAGACCATGACTGTAACTCCAAGTGACAGAAGCAGGAATGATCCCTAAACAAGAAACTGAAACTTTACCTTTCAATCTTTCTCAAAATGTTATTTATTTATTTTTAGAGATGGGGTCTTGATATGTTGTCCAGGCTGGATTTGACCTCCTGGGCTCACAGATTCTCCCACCTCAGCCTCCCAAGTAGCTGGGACTAGAGACATATACCACCATACCTGGCTAATGAAGTAACAGTGAAAAAGACTGGCTTGAGGGAGAATTTAGCTAACCATCAGCTAATTTCTACGCTCAATAGTTCTGTACAACTTTATCATGTGGCACATAACAGTAGATTCAAGGAGGGAAATGAGTAATCAAATTAATACAAAAATATGAGAATGCATGTAATGCCTTTATCAGATAGGTTAGTTGTTTCTTTAAATCCCACTGCTGCTCCATACAGGCTCCTTGAAATTATAGCCATCTGCATCCTGATACTATTGCTGTTTCTGTCATATAAATGTCATATCGAATGCAGATGCTCAGACAGTTTTGCTACAAGAGAGCCTAAGCCAAGGCCTGGGTGAGTGGACAGGTAACTCAGTACACCTGGACTGCTCAAATCCTGCACGTGCCAAAGAAAGAACTGGCCCTTAACTGGTTCCTGGGAGATAACTCTGAGCCCTTAAATATCCTACCTAATAAGAGCATTTTTGTATACATCTGTGACCTAAAAAGATTTAGTTCCACTGTTCTAAAATCAAAGACTAGAATCCCTGATATAACCATAGATGTGACCTCACAAAAAAATTTGTGCCTCCCAAATGTAAAGAATTAGAAAAATTCTTCTTCATTCATGTGCCTTAAAAGGCTCCAGGACCTCTCTGAGCCAAGGTTTGCTCTTCAGAAAGTGGAGTTATAGCGCCTCCCCTGGAATCTTGAACCCCAAACTATGATCTCTCCAGGGTAGTCAACGGGGCTTCATAAATTATTCCTTAATCCGAGGCTTCTCAAATCTACTGTGTTCCCTAAGCAACAGAATAAATGCCTACTCTACTCAGGGTCTGACGGAAAAGCAGCAGTCCCACAAAATAAGATCCTTTAAAATATTTCTTCCTGTATTTAAAAGTCACACTGATTTGGTATACTATACAATAATAAATTTATATTTTATACAGAAATCCTGTTTTATAATATTTATCAGATCAATTATTTAGCCTTTTCTTTTCCAGATTTTCGAGTAAACTGACGTTCTGGAAGAAGCACCCTTATTTTCACCATTTTACAGTAGAAGAAGGAAAGGTAAGAGGCGGTGAATCCGAGACTCCCACTCAGGTGACGATCCCTTGCGGGCACTCACTCTCGCTCGCACTACAATCAGATCCTCCATGCGGCTTTCACATACTCTGTCACACTCGCAGCCAGAATCCCCTCGGATGGACTCTTGCAAACCTCCAGCCCCATCCCGGGATCCGTCGCGTCCTCTACAGCCACCAGGCGGGCCAGCGTCCAAGACGCCCAAGCATAACCTCCCCACTCTAAACCGTTAGGAATCAGTGGCTGAACTCACTGCGTCACAAAAGCATAAGTTGTGACCCGATGAGTCTGTGCACTCGGAAAACAAGAGAACGCTCCCACGTCTCCGGGCGCAGCTTGTGCCAGCAACTAGGTCGGGGGACAGCTGAGAGGATTCAAGCAACCTCCCCGCAGCCGGTTCCGCCATGTTTCTGGGCTCGTAGCCCGGAATACATTTCCCAGAGGCGTTCGCGGCCGACGTGCTTCGCGCAGGAACGCAGCCGCTTCCCGGCCGAAGGACGCAGTAAGGTAGCTGCTCAAAGAGCGGTGCTCAGCCCTGGGAGGCTCAGGGCTGCCCGAGGTGAGTAGTCCCAAAGTCAGTGCTGTTAGGGGCTGAGCATGCGAACAGGGCAGTGGGAAGACCATTTGTGACGGTGGCTTTTAAATACACCCCGAACGTCTGCCTCTTTTAACTGGAGTATTTAATTTATTTACATTTAATATAGCCACTGTTAGATTTAACGCTGCCATTTTATTACATTTTTATTTATTTATTTTTATTGCTAAATACACAGGCTTTTATTTATTTTCTTCGTATTCAATCTTTTGGTAAATTTAAAGATGAGGAGGCCAAGTGCGATGGCTCACGCCTGTAATCCTAGCACTTTGGGAGACGGAGGCGGGCGTATTGCCTGAGCTCAGGAGTTCGGGACCAGCCTGGGCAACACGGTGAAACCCCGTCTCTACTAAAATACAAAAAATTAGCTGGGCGTGGTGGCGTGTGCCTGTAGTCCCAGCTACTCGGGAGGCTGAGGCAGGAGAATCGCTTGAACCCGGGAGGCAGAGGTTGCGGTGAGCTGAGATCGCACCACTGCACTCGCTAGGCGACAGAGTGAGACTCTGTCTCAAAACCACCACCACAACAACAAAAGCATATTAATACTTTAATAAACTATACTAAAAAGATAATGAGACAAACGTGCATTTGTGGAACTGCATGTCAGTCAGGCCAGTTCCCTGCAGAGGGAATTCCCAGCATAACCTCATTCATCTGTGAGGACACAGAGCAGTCCTTGTTTAGACAGACACTTTCATCTACTGCTCCAGCACGGTCAGTACTCCACTTCTTGATGGTTTCCTTCTGCTATGAATGCGCACGTCCAGTTGCTGCTTAGAGCAGACATTTACCTTCCTCTTCCACCAGCCATTAGAGGACTGGAGCCACCCAGATGATTGATTGGACCCATTCTTCCGGGTGGGTTTCCCAGTGGCCCTCTTCCATTACCATCATGTCTGGAATCACATGAGTTTCCATAGCTGCTTCTTTTTTTCAAATCTTGCTGAAGCAGAATTTTGAAAAACAAAACCACAAACTCAGCTATTCCCCAGAAGAAATCTGTTATCAAAGATAATCTCCATGGAAACTGACTCCAGCTGTCCAACACTTGTGCATTTGAGATGTAAACCATCTTGCCCTTCCTTCCCTGCTTCGGGGACTTACTACTTTTTAAAAACGGGGTCTCCCTATGTTGCCCAGGCTGGCCTTGAACTCCTGGGTTCAAACGATCCTCCCACCTATGCCTCCCAAAGTGCTGGGATTACAGGCGTGAGCTCCTGGCATTTTAATTTGTTTTCTTTTTGTTGCATGTTTCCGTTTTCTCTCCTTTCTTTATGTTGGGTTGATGTATTACTATTCCAATTTTCTCTTTAATAGTTTGTAGGTTCTTTTAGTCATTACTCCAGGAATTTTAGTAAGTCCAAATTTATCAATACTCTGACTCTCCTCACAGAATGCATTCAATTTCATATGCCTTCTTATTTTTAAAATACAAGATATCAGTTACATATTTGTTTTGTTTAAAAAACCTCTCTGGGCTGGGCGTGGTGGCTTATGCCTGTAATCTCAGCACTTTGGGAGGCCAAGATGAGCGGATCATGAGGTCAGGAGATGGAGACCATCCTGGCCAACATGGTGAAACCCCGTCTCTACTAAAAATACAAAAATTAGCTGGGTGTGGTGGCACATGCCTCCACACCCAGCTAATATCAGTAGAATACCAGCTACCCAGCAGGCTGAGGCAGGAGAATCGCTTGAACCAGGGAGTCAGAGGTTGCAGTGAGCTGAGATCGTGCCACTGTATTCCAGCCTGGCGACAGAGCAAGACTCTGTCTCAAAAAACAAACACCTCTCTTATGTTATACTATTATTTTGTCAGTATTCATTTACATTTACTCAGAACATTGACATAAGTATAAGTGGTGTTCAAATAAACAGAATGTTTAGGTTTTGTGAAAGAGAAATGAAGTGGGGCCGGGCACAGAGGCTTATGCCTGTAATCCAGTGCTTTGGGAGCTTAAGGCAGCTGGATTGCTTGAGGCCAGAAATTTAAAAGCAGCCTGGGCAAAATAGTGAGACCCCCCATGCCTACAAAAGAAAATTTTTTTTTTAACTAGCTGGGCCTGGTGGTCTACACCTGTAATCCCAGCTATTCAGGAGGCTGAGGCCAGAGGATCACTTGAGCCCAAGAGCTATGATGGCATGACTACATTGCAGCCTGGGCCACAGAGCTAGACCCTGTCTTAAAAAAGAAAGAAGGCGGCCAGACACAGTGGCTAACACCTGTAATCCCAGCACTTTGGGAGGCCAAGGTGGACAGATCGCCTGAGGTCAGCAGTTCAAGACCAGCCTGACCAACATGGTGAAACCCTGTCTCTACTAAAAATACAAAAATTAGCCAGGCGTGGTGGTGTGCACCTGTAATCCCGGCTACTCAGGAGGCTGAGCGGGAGAATTGCTTGAACCTGGGAGGCGGAGGTTGCAAAGAGCCAAGATTGCATGACTGCACTCCAGCCTGGGCGACAAGAGTGAGACTCCGTCTCAAAGAAAGGAGAAAAGAGTCCAGGCGTGGTGTCTCACACCTGTAATCCCAGCACTTTGGGAGGCCGAGGTGGGTGGATTACCTGAGGTTATGAGTTCAAGCCTGGCCAACATAGTGAAAACCCGTCTCTACTAAAAATACAAAAATTAGCTGGGTGTGGTGGCGATGCCTGTAATCCCAGCTACTCGGGAGGCTGAGGCAGTAGCATCACTTGAACCCAGGAGACAGAGGTTGCAGTCAGCCGAGATCATGGCCACTGTACTCCAGCCTGGGCCACAGAGCCAGACTGCATCTCAAAAAAAAAAAAAAAAAAAAAAAAAGAAACAAAGTGAGACAATAGTAAAAGGGAGTAGACAGATTTTATTCAGTAATAACTACTGTATTAGAGAACAGAATACGGTGTAAACTGAGCTCCACTTTGGGAAACAAAAATCAGGAGTTGTTGAAAATGGTGGAGTGTACTAAAGGAGACACTGAAAGGTGTTAAGGGGGAGTTTGGTCCCTGTGACTAAGGCATCAGGTTTTTTTTTTTTTACTAATTGATATTTATCCAGAGTAGAAACAAATTTCTTATATCTTTATGACTGAGACAGTTGTGAAAGTTGGAGCAAGACAGCCACCAAAGTTAGGCCCTTACATTCCCATAGGAACTAAGAGGTTGGAGCAAGAGCTGGCTCTCTGAATGTTTGCATTTCAAACTCAGCTCTGAGGAGACAGCTCTTGGTGGTAGATTTACATCTCAAAGGGGCAGAGAAATGATTTATAATTGCAACCTTTCTAAAGTAACTGCTTCAAGAGGGGGCTTAAGGACCTATCACTAGTTTCAGGTTTTGGCTGGAACAGTATGTTTTCAGAACAGCATTGAGCTTTCTCAAGCAGGGTTTTTTTTTTTGAGATGGAGTCTTGCTCTGTCGCCTAGGCTAGAGTGCAGCAGCATGATCTCGGCTCACAGCAATCTCTGCCTCCCGGGTTCAAACAATTCTCCTGCCTCAGCCTCCTGACTAGGTGGGATTACAGGAGTGTGCCACCATGCCCAGCTAATTTTTGCGTTTTTAGTACAGATGGGGTTTCACCATGCTGGTCAGGCTGGAGTTGAACTCCTGACCTCAAGTGATCCACCTGCCTTGGCCACGCAAAGTGCTGGGATTACAGGCGTGAGCCACACTGCCCAGCTTACATCTGAATTTCATTCCAGGATTAAGTGTCTGATTCACCTAAACATATCAGAATGAAAGCCCTCTTATGGTTTTTACTTAAGTTTACCCAGAATGAATTCAAATTTTAAAACCATAAAACTTTTTTGAATTCATTAAATCTGAATGGTTAATGGTTTTCATCTTATCAAAATGCACTACAAATAACACAAGTAATCATATTATTATATATAGAAGCTAATGTTTATTGAACGTAACAGTATATTCCATGTAGTTTCCCATAATTTTTTCATGTACTAACCCATGTAATTCTTCTTTTTTTTTTTTAGAGAGCTGAAGTGATTTTACCTTTATTTCCTTCACTTTAAGCCAATCATGAAATTTCAGTGATTTCTGGGGTTAGGGCAGAAGGTGGTATTACAAATCATCGGGGCTGTGGCCCAGTTGCCTCACGGAGGTGCAGGTAGGCTGGGCCCTCACTAGGGCAACTGGAGGAGCACGGACCGCCCCACTGGCAGGCAGATGATGTTCCAAGAGCGTGAGAGCTGGTATGTAATGTCTTCCACAGTTTCCAGCTTGCACAGCTTGCTCAGGCCGTCCCCTGCAGTGGCCAGTGAGTTGGTGATCAGCTCAGCTGCCTTGGAGTCACCCTCAGCAGAGATGATGGCCGCCTTTTTCTGCTGCTTAGCCTTCACCACAAATCTGGTGCTCTCTGCCTCCTGCTGGGCCACCTGTTTGACTTCCACTGCTTCTATGAACTCCTTCCCGAAGGTCAGATATGTCAAAGACATGTTGTCCAGGATGAGCCCAAAGGTGGCTGCTCACTCCATAAGGTCGTTGCTCACCTGGCTGGAGACCAGCTCTCTCTGGGTGATTAGTTCTCCAGCATCAAAGCAAGCCAGCAGTGACTTGAGGATCTCAGTGGTAATGAAAAGGCAGCACAGGCTCATCATAGTCCTCTCCAAGGCTGGTGAAGATGAGAGGATGCTGGCTAGTGATGGGCTAGAAGAGGATGTGCAGTGTGATGCTGACATTCTGTAAATCTTTGCTACCAGTGATGAATGGCGCATTATGTGGTTGAGAGCAGCAGTCAAAGATAATTGGTTTTTGTACCCATGGGATGAGAAAGTGAGTCCCTTCCCCTACCACAACGTTGTGTACTCCACGGAATTGGTCAAAGATGACAGCTCTGTGCCCAGCATCCACATTATATAAGGCAGAATTTACCATGCCTCCTGCAACAGCTAAGGCCAGGCCAAACTTGCCCACGGACTCAAAACACTTTGGCAGCCATGTTTTCTTCTGCGGGACCCTCTCACACCTGCTTCCACTCTGACTTTCACATCTAACTCATGTAATTCTAACAGCACTATACTGTAGGTACTACTATCACCATTTATATATGATCCCCAGAAGGGATAAGTATCTTCCCCCATATCATCCCAGCTATAAGAAGTGGACATCGATCATGAGCATTAAATATGCAGAATGGCGGCCGGGCGCGGTGGCTCAAGCCTGTAATCCCAGCACTTTGGGAGGCCGAGACGGGCGGATCACGAGGTCAGGAGATCGAGACCATCCTGGCTAACACGGTGAAACCCCGTCTCTACTAAAAAAACAAAAAACCAGCCGGGCGAGGTGGCGGGCGCCTGTAGTCCCAGCTACTGGGGAGGCTGAGGCAGGAGAATGGCGCAAACCCGGGAGGCGGAGCTTGCAGTGAGCTGAGATCCGGCCACAGCACTCCAGCCCGGGCTACAGAGCGAGACTCCGTCTCAAAAAAAAAAAAAAAAAAAAAATATGCAGAATGGCTAAATAGCCTTTCCCATCATCGCTTATATCGACAGAGGTTTCCTGTTTAATGACTTTTCCCAGGTTTAACAATAAATGATTGTTGCTGCAAGATGTTTACATGCAAGTATAAAGAATGGTTTCCTGCATTCTCTCAGTTTTCCTCTACTATGATTATTTTGGCAATCCAAAACTAGAGGAATATCAGAAAAGGTTTTCTTATGTTATTAAAAAAATACATAATAAATTCTCTGAATCTGTGTTAACACAGTTCTTACCAAAGAAACTGCGTATTTACATTTTGAAAAGTTCACACCAATACAAATTGATGCCTAACAAAAACTGAACTGTATCTCAAAGCCATTCCACATTGTCTTCAAATTGTTCAGTGGGATAAATCAATTGACAGAATGTGCTTTTTTTACTACCTGTATATGCCACAGTTTCTCTATCAAATATGAATTCTCTGATGTACTTCAAGGATGGATCTAAGCCTAAAGGACCTTCTGCATTTATTACATTTAAAGGGTTTCTCACCAGTATGAACTCTATGATGTATACTAAGTTCATGGCTACTATTAAAAGCTTTCCCACACTCTTCACACATATAGGGATTTCCATCAGCATGAACCCTTTCATGTCTAACAAGATATGAGGCACAGCGAAATGCCTTCCCACATCTTTTACATTCATAGGGTTTATCACTGGTATGAATTCTCTCATGAATAATAAGATGTGAAGCATGACTAAAAGTTTCCCCACATTCTTTACATTCATAGGACTTTTCACCAGCATGAGTTCGGTCATGATATATGAGGCTTGTGGCATGACGAAAGGCCTTGCCACATTCCTTACATTCGTAGGGTTTCTCGGCACTATGAATATTCTGATGGGCTTTAAGTACAGAAATGAACCTAAAAGACTTCCCACATTTGTTGCATTCAAAGGGTTTCTTACCACTATGAATACTCAGATGCTGAGTAAGTTGTCCAGATACACTAAAGGCCTTCCCACATTCCTTACATTCATAAGGTTTCTCACCAGTGTGAACTCTGCGATGTATAGTGAGTTTATGGCTATAACTAAAACCCTTCCCACACTCTTGACATACATAGGGTTTCTCTCCTGTATGAATTCTCTCATGTATGACAAGATATGAGGCACAACGAAAGGACTTCCCGCATTCTTTACATTCAAAGGGTTTGTAACCAGTATGAATTCTGTTATGATGGGCAAGGTGTGCGCGCTGACTGAAGGCCTTCCCACATTCCTTACATTTGTAGGGTTTCTCACCTGTATGAATATTTTGATGTATTTTAAGGGATGAATTCAGCCTAAAGGACTTCCCACATTTGTTACATTCAAAGGGTTTCTTACCACTATGAATACCCTGATGTCGAGTAAGTCGTCCATACACACTAAAGGCTTTCCCACATTCCTCACACTTATAAGGTTTCTCAACACTTTCAAATGTATGAGGTGCAGTAAGTTGATGGCCACTACTAAAAGCCCCCCCATTTTCTTTACATTCATAAGGTTTCTCCCCAGAATAAATTCTCTGATGCATAGTAAGTTGATACCTACATGTAAAGCCCTTACCGCATTCCTTGCATTCATAGGGTTTTTCTCCAGTATGAATTCTTTTATGACCTACAAGGTGGGAAAACTGACGAAAGGCCTTTCCACATTCCTTACATTCATGTGGCTTCTCTCCAGTATGAATACTCTGATGTACTTTAAGGCCTGCTTTGAGCCTAAAGGACTTCCCACATTTGTTACATTCAAAGGGCTTCTCACCAGTGTGAATACTCTGATGTCGACTAAGTCGTCCATACACACTAAAGGCTTTGCCACATTCCTTACATTCGTAGGGTTTCTCACCGTAATGAAATCTGTGATGTACAGTAAGTTGACGGCTAGTCCTAAAAGCTTCCCCACACTCTTTACATTCATAGGGTTTCTCAACATGAACCTTCCCATGTTGAGCAAGGTTTGCAGGATAACTGAAGACTTTCCCACATTCTTCACATTCATAAGGTTTCTCACGAGCATGAATTTTCTGATGCTCTCTAAGGTCTGTAAGATGGCTAAATGCCTTCCCAAACTCTTCACGTTGATCAGGTTCCTCACTAGTATGAATTCTTTGATGTACTATGAGTTCTGTAAGATGACTAAAGGCCTTCTGACATTCCTTACACTCGTATGGTTTCTGTCCATTATGAATTCTCTGATGGAGAGTAACACATGACTGTTTCCTATAAAGGTGCATTTTCCCATCGCTGATTATTTCACACCTTGAATCCAAATCTAGAAGACATATAATAAAAACATTTTGTTTATTGGATCAGAAAATGTCAATGTATTGTAGAATTAAGAGAAATTCTCACCTATTACAGATGCCGAGAACTCAAAAATACAGCTATAAAATATAAAAAATGAAAGGAGAGCTCAAAAAATGAGTTTCTACAGGAGGAGTGCAACCTTACACATACATGCACCCATACACAAAGACACACACACACACACACACACACACACACAGCCCTGTTTTGTAGTGTTTGCCAAGATCTCTGGTATAAATACTCCCACTGAGGGCAATTTCAAGCTGTCAATTTAATGCAGATTTATTAACATATATGCATAACTGGCTCTAGAATGACAGAACTGACCAGCTGTACCACACCCCCCTATATAAATTTATATGCTAAGAAAACAGGCAAATATTGATATGGAAATAGAAGAGTAAAATGGAAGAATTCCAGCAGATTGAACATCTGTAGGATCAGAAGTAATAAAAAAAAGTCAGGGTAAGATAACTAAATAAAAACTCAGTATCTTATTTAATATATAGAGAAAAGAAGTATACATGGTCATACATAGAAAGGAATAAACTACAGTTGTGGGAACACCCATCTTTCAGGGAAGACTGTAACTGAAGAATGATCAGGTTTACAACATATGTAGATGTGATATACATGGAAATTATAAAGGGTAAGCAAATCATGATGGAGAAAATGGGTACACATCATAATCATGGGCATTCAGTATCAGCAGGCAGGGAATTCAAAGAGTGAATATTTATCTCAATAAAAAGGAAAGAAAACAAGTTAAAGATCACTACCCAACATTTAGGAATTTAAGAGCAAGGTACAGGAAAGTAGAAAAATAAAGATAAAAGCAGAATGTGATGGGTTAGGAAACAGAATAGTGTCAACACCTAAATCAAAGACATGGTGTTTACAAAAATCATTGGGTGAAATATGAGCTAAAGCAACCAAAAAATAATAAAAATAAAAATAAGAAGGGAAAATAAGAAACAGAGATTTAGACGGGCGGATCACGAGGTCAGGAGATCGAGACCAACCTGGCTAACATGGTGAAACCCCGTCTCTACTAAGAAATACAAAAAAACTAGCCGGGCGAGGTGGCGGGCGCCTGTAGTCCCAGCTACTCGGGAGGCTGAGGCAGGAGAATGGCGTGAACCCGGGAGGCGGAGCTTGCAGTGAGCTGAGATCCGGCCACTGCACTCCAGCCTGGGCGACAGAGCGAGACTCCAACTAAAAAAAAAAAAAAAAAGAAACAGAGATTTTATTTAAATTATAAGAGTCTATATACATATCTTGAAAGTATTAAAAACAATGAATAATTTTGTAGGAATATTCCTCAGAGGTGACCCTAAAAGTGAAAAGTCTAAACAGTCAATTGCCATGGATGAAATACAAAAAGCTGCTAAAAAGACAGTTATAATGAGCACATTTTACCACCTATCTTGTAATTTCTCAATATCTAAATTTTAAAATTATGCACATAAGATATTGCAGAGAAACAAACAATTCAGGATGGGAACAGGTAACATGAACCTGAAAATATTATAAAAGAAAAGAAAGGAAGTCTTCAAAGACTTAGAGTTGTGAGTAAACAAAACAATAAAAATAGTAGTGTTGAATATGAATTCTAAATTTCTCTTCAAAACATTAATATATCAGTATGTTCAATTCTTTGCCTTCTACATTTAAACTTAACTTCCTCGTAAAGCAACCTTTTTCGATTACCTACTCCACCCTAAATCATTCTGATCACCTGCTCCGTCCTAACTCATTCCTGTTATGGGCTATACCGGCTCTGCCCTGACACCTGCCAAAGCGCTCACTCCGTCATTCTCTTTAAATTAGCCAATCAGAATTAGTTTAGCCTGTGCGGTCTAACCCTAACCAATAGGGGAACGACACAGCAGCAGGGGTCATGTGCCTCAGGGATAAGAACCCCTTCCCCTCCCTTGTCCAAATGTGCGCCCACCATTGCTCCATCGGTGAGAGCGCACCCTTCTATACAAGTACCTTGCTTTGCCGAGAATTAAAAAAAAAAGAAAATTTTATATTTGAGTGCTATTTCTTTTGCAGCATTGAAACTTTATTTATAACAGTAGCATACAAAGGTTTGGAGCCAGGCTCAATGGCTGATGCCTGTCATGCTAGCTAATATGATTGCAACATCAGAACATTAAGAAAAAGCTTAGAAAAACACACTGGAAATGACAGACAACATAGGAGCTATAACCACGAGTGGGGGACAGAAAAGGATGAAAATGCAAATTATACAACTGAAACATATAATCACTAAGGGTCAGTAAACTTGATTGATCAACAGAAATTATTCAACTTGAAATGGAGAGAGAAAAATGGTTTAAAAAATTTTAGCCGGGTGTGGTGGCTCATGCCTGTAATCCCAGCACTTTGGGAGGCTGAGGCAGGTGGATCACCTGATGTCAGGAGTTCGAGACCAGCCTGGCCAACATAGTGAAATCCTATCTCTACTAAACATACAAAAAATTAGCTGGGCATGGTGGCGGGCACCCGTAATCCCAGCTACTGGGGAGGCTGAGGCAGAGAATTCCTTGAACCTGGGAGGCGGAGGTTGCAGTGAGCCAAGATTGCACCATTGCACTCCAGCCTGGGCAACAAGAGTGAAACTCCATCTCAGAAATAAAAAATTAAAAAAAAAGAAGAAGAAGAAGAAGAAGAAAACATTTGTAAAGAGCTGTAGGAATAAATCAAAAGACATGGTTGAAATTATAAACTGAAAAAACAAAGATTTTGGCAGGAAAAATATCTCAGGAAATAGCGATTGAAAACAACTCAAATTTAGTGAAAGAAATAAATTTGTAGAATTAAGATGCTCATTTAATGCCAAGTAAGATACATTACATTTACTGATAAAAGCAAATTAAAATACTTTGTTGCCATCAGACTTACTATACAAAAAATGCTAACAAGTTATTTAGGCCCAAAGAAAATAATACCAAAGAGAAATCTGAATCTTCAGAATATAAGAAAAGCATCACTAATGATGATGTAAATACCTAAAATCATTTTTTGCTCCTTAAGTTCTTTAATATGACTGTCAAAAGCAAAACTAATAACACTGCCTAGTGAGGTTTACAACATATGAATATGTGATATACATGGAAATTATAACGTGAAGGGTAAGATGGATATAAACCTATAAAAACACAAGGTTTATACATTTGTTGAGAAGGAACAACTCTATCTAGATGGTGAAACATGATGTATATTGTATACTATAATCCCTATAACACTCACTAAAATAAATTACTCAAGGAGATACAACCCAAAAGTCAACAAGTAAATTTATTTATTTAAAAAATTGTTTTTATTATTATTATTTTTGAGATGGTGTTTCACTCTTGTTGCTCAGCGATCTCGGCTCACCACAACCTCCGCCTCCCAGGTTCAAGCAATTCTCCTGCCTCAGCATCCCGAGTACCTGGGATTACAGGCATGCACCACCACGCCAGGCTAATTTTGCATTTTTAGTATAGACGGGGTTTCTCCATGTTGAGGCTGGTCTCGAACTCCTGACCTCAGGTGATCCGCCTGCCTCAGCCTCCCAAAGTGCTGGGATTACAGGTGTGAGCCACTGCGCCCAGCCAATAGGTAAATTTAAATAAATAGCAAAAAACAAACAAAAATTGAAATAATCAAAACTACAAAAGGAATGGACAGAGAAACTAAATAGAGAAAAAAAGTAAAGTAGTAAACCTAAATGTAATCATGTTAATAATTACATAAAATGTATAGGGTCAAAACACTTTAAGAGGCAAAGATGAACATAGTGAATGACCCATCATCTCAAAACCATCAGGATGGCTACTGGTTAAAAAACAAAAAAACAAAACAAAAAAAACCCAGAAAATAACTAATGTTGAAGAGAATGCAGAGAAATTGGAACCCTTGTGCACTATGTAATGGCTACAAGGAACATACTTTAAAGACACAAAATATTAAAAGTAAAAGGATAGAATCAATATAACAAGCCAAACAAATGGTGGGCTATGTTAATATCAGACAACATAGATTTCAGGACAAAGGAAAATAGGAAGATTCAAGAAGGTGCATGTCATAACATAAAAGGGATCAGTCTATCAAGAAAACATAAAATTCCCAAACACTTATGCACCTGATAACACTCTCAAAGTATATAAAACAAAAACTGATTGAAATGCAATGAAAAATAGGTAACAATAAAACATAACTGGAAATTGGTCAGGCGCAGTGGCTCACGCCTGTAATCCCATCAATTTGGGAGGCCGAGGTGGGTGGATCATGAGGTCATGAGATCGAGACCAGCCAAGCCAAACTAGTGAAACCTCGTCTCTAATAAAAATACAAAAATTAGCTGGGTGTGGTGGTGCACGTCTGTAGTCCCAGCTACTCAGAGGCTGAAGCACGAGAATCACTTGAACCCAGAAGCAGGAGAATCACTTGAACTCCAGAGGCGGAGGTCGCAGTGAGCTGAGACCACACCATTGCACTCCAACCTGGGTGACAGAGTGAGGCTCTGTCTCAAAAAAAAAAAAAAAAAAGAAAAAGAAAAAATATAACTGGAAATGGAAATATTTTTCTAGAAACAATTCCCAGAACAAGTACACAAAAACATGGTAAAGATATACAAGATTTGCACAGTATCAACCAAGAAACTACATGAGATATTGATAGAACATCCACCCAACACCAACATATACAATATTCTCAAGCACATGTGGAATATTTGCCAAGAGGGCCGATACAGTACATAAAACAAATCTCAATTATTATTTAAAATAATTCAAGTCATAAAAAGCATGTTCTCTGATCACAACGGTGCTAATTATAAATCACTAACCAACAATGAAACATCCTTAACTGTTTGGAAAACAAACCAACATACCTCTAAATAAACCACAGGTCAAAGAAGAAATCAAGAAGGAAATCAGAAAGCAGTATGAACTGAATCAAAATGGAAACACAATGTATCAAATTTTATGGAATACTAACTAATAAAGAACCACCTAGGGGAAATTTACAACACTAATATCTATGTTAGTATAAAAAAACAACAAAAAAAGACTTCAGTTGGCCGGGCACGGTGGCTCAAGCATGTAATCCCAGCACTTTGGGAGGCCGAGGTGGGCGGATCACGAGGTCAGGAGATCAAGACCATCTGGGCTAACGCAGTAAAAGCCCGTCTCTACTAAAAATACAAAAAATTAGCTGGTGGCGGGCGCCTGTAGTCCCAGCTATTCAAGAGGCTGAGGCAGGCAAGTGGCGTGAACCCGGGAGGCGGAGCTTGCAGTGAGCCAAGATCCCGCCACTGCACTCCAGTCTGGGCGACAGAGCGAGACTCTGTCTCAAAAAAAAAAACAAAAACAAACAAACAAAAAAACACCTCAGTCTTCACCTCAATAGAAAAAGACGAGCAAATCAAACCCAAAGCAAGAAGAATAAAAATAATAATAATCAGAAAAAGTAAAATAGAAAATTGAAAATCAATAAAAAAAAAATCAATGAAACCAAAAGCCGATTCTTTGAAAAGATCAATGAAGTTGATAAACCTCCACCCAAAGGAGAGAAAGGGAGAGAAGGCATAAATGACCCATTGCAGGAATAAAAAAGGGATTATCACTATAAATCATAAAGTATTATGAACCCCATGCCAATAAATTTGATAACTTAGATGAAATGAACAAATTCCTTGAAAGACACAGACCACCAAAGCTTGACTAAGAAGTAGATAAAGCGATGAACACTACCATCCAGTAAATAATTTAAGCTGGTCAGGCCCTTCAGAAAACAGTTTGCCAGGGTCGGGCATGGTGGCTCACGCCCCAGCCCTTTGGGAAGCTGAGGCAGGCAGATCATCTGAGGTCAGGAGTTTGAAACCAGCCTGGCCAACATGGTGAGACCCTGTCTCTACTAAAAATACAAAAATTAGCCGGGCATGGTGGCGGGCGCTTATAGTCTCAGCTGCTCAGGAGACTGAGGCAGGAGAATCACTTCAACTTGGGAGGCAGAGGTTGCAGTGAGCCGAGATTGCACCACTGCACTCTAGCCTGAGCAAGACAGCAAGACTCTGTCACCCCCCCAAAAAAAAAAAAACTTAGATGAATGTTCAACTTCCAAGAAAAATACAAACCACCAATTTTTAGTTAAGAAACTGAAAATCTGAAAAAGAAAAAAAATCTGTATTTCTTTCTCTTCCTCTCTTTCTCGAAATCTCTCCCCCACATCTGCTCCCTTCTCTCTTTCTCCCTTTTGTTCTCATAAAGTAATTAAATCAATAACCCAAACACATTGTATAAAAACAGGTTGATGGGCCGGGCGCGGTGGCTCAAGCCTGTAATCCCAGCACTTTAGGAGGCCGAGGTGGGCAGATCACCTGAGGTCAGGAATTTGAGACCAGCCTGGCCAACATGGTGAAACCCTGTCTCTACTAAAAATACAAAAATTAGCTGGGCAGCACACCCATAGTTCCAGCTACTTGGGAGGCTGAGGCAGGAGAATTGCTTGAACCCAGGAGGCGGAGGTTGCAGTAAGCCACGATCACGCCACTGCTCTCCAGCCTGGGCGACAGAGTGAGACTCTGTCTCTAAATAAATAAATAAGTTAATTTATTAATTCACAGTTCGGTAATTCCAAAATCTCTGCCTTATCTGGGTCTGGTTTCAATCCTTTTTTTTTTTTTTTTTAAATGATGTTTACTTATTTTCAGCATGCCTTGTAATTTTTGTTAGAAAAAGCTGGACATGGCCGGGTGCGGTAGCTCATGCCTGTAATCCCAGCACTTTGGGAGGCTGAGGCGGGCGGATCACTTGAGGTCAGGAGTTTGAGACCAGCTTGACCAATATGGTGAATCCCTACCTCTACAAAAAAAAAAATATATATATATATGATATATAAATTAGCCAGGCATGGTGGCAGGCGCCTGTAATTCCAGCTGCTCGAGAGGCTGAGGCAGGAGAATTGCTTGAACCCAGGAGGTGGAGATTGCAGTGAGCCGAAATCCCTCCACTTTTCTCCAGCCTGGGCGGCAGAGCAAGACTCCGTCTGGAAAGACAGAAAGGGAAGGGAAGGGAAGGGAAGGGAAGGGGAAGGGAAGGGGAAAGGGGAGGCGAAAGGGGAAGGGAAAGGGGAAGGGAAGTGGAAGGAAATGGGGAAGGGAAGGGGAAGGAAAGGGGAAGGGTAGGGTAAGGTGAAGGGAAAGGGAAAGAGAAAGGGAAAGAGAAAGGGAAAGGAAAGGAAAGAGAAAGGAAAGAGGAAGGAAAGAGAAAGGAAAGGAAAGTGGCGAGGGGGGAGGGAAAAAGAAAAGAAAAGAAAGAAGAAAGAAATAGCTGGCCGCGATGTGTCCCGTAATAGGAACTGAGGTGAATACACCTTCAGGGTAAAGTTTGAGGTTTGTCTGCCTGGGAGTTAGGCCGTGTTCATTGTGTGCTGTAGCTGTTTGTGTTGTAGTTTCAATTCTTCCAGTTTTTATTTATGTCTTCTCTTTTGTCTTTGGGTTTCCCTAGCAATTCTTTCTTAAATGGAGACTGTCTTTCAGCTCTCTCAGTGGGAATCCAATTTTTATACTGTAGCTCTGTTGAGATAGAGGTAAGGTATTGCAGAGGGGACGCTTTCTGTAATCTTATGATTAGCACTCTCTTCCCCACCGTGGCCAGACGGCTCAGGTTGTAACCTTGACAAGAATTTCTTAATTTTTTTTTTTTTTTGAGACAGGGTCCCACTCTGTCATCCAGGTTGGAATGTGATGTTGTGATCTCGGCTCACTGCAGCCTCTGCTTCCAAGGCTCAAGTAATCCTTCCACCTTAGCCTCCCAAGTAACTGGGATTATAGGCAGTGCCACCACACCTAGCTAATTTTTCATATTTTTTGTAGAGACAGGGTTTTGCCATGTTGGCCAGGGTGGTCTTGAACTCCTGTCTTCAAGTGATCTGCCTGCCTCGGCCTACCAAAGTGCTGGGATTGTAGGTGTGAGCCAGAGAGCCTGGCCAAAATTCACTTTTCTTGATATACAGTTCTATGAGATTTGAAAAATGCACATAGTTGTTCATAACCACAGTGAGGATATAGAACAGGCCGGGCGAGGTGGCTTGCACTTGTAATACTGGCACTTTGGGAGGCTGAGACGGGTCACTTGAGCCCAGAAATTCCAGAGCAGCCTGGGCAACATAGTGAGACCATGTCTCTACAAAAATACAAAAATTAGCTGGGTGTGGTGGCACACACCTGTGGTCCCAGATATTGCAGAGGATAAGACTGTGCCGCTGCACTCCTGCTCTGGGTGACAGAGTGAGACCTTATCAAAAAAAAAAAAAAAAAAAAGGTTGGGCAGGGGATATAGAACAATTCTGGGCCAGGCATGGTAGCTCACACCTATAATCCCAGCACTTTGGGAGTCTAAGGCAGGAAGAACACTTGAGCCCAGGAGTTTGAGAACAGCCTGGGCGATGTAGGGAGACCTCATCTCTAAAGAAAAAAAAATTACCAGATGTGGTGGTATGCACTTGTGGTCCCAGCTACTGTGGAGGATCACCTCAGGTGATCTGCCCGCCTCGGCCTCCCAAAGTGCTGGGATTACAAGCGTGAGCCGCTGCGCTGGGCCTTCATTGGCTATTTCATGCTGAGATATCCCTTTCTTCTCCACATCAGAAGCCTCCTCGCTGAGGAGGGAACTTTATGACTAATGTTTCAAGGATGCGTTTACCAAATGAGATGACCACTTCCACGAGGGCTATTTTACATACAAAAATGGCTGCCCCTGCCTGACTTGCTCTTACCTGTACATTCTCCTCTTGTTTCTTCCCCCACAATCATCCATGGCTCTTTTCCTTGCTCCAATAAGGTGATTAAATCTGGCTTAGATATGGAATGTCCTGCTTACAAAGAAAAGAAGTGCCACAAAATACAGAAATCAAATTTGAAGGTCAAATTTAAAATTACAATTGCAATAAATGAAAGGTCAAAGTGATACAGAATAAGATTTTAGAGAAGAGTGAGAGAAATAAGAAAAAGATCACCCAGGGAGAGTCAATCTTTTTGTTTGCTGGTTTTCAAAAAATCTCGCTCTGTCACCCAGGCTGGAGTGCAATGGTGCGATCTTGGCACACTGCAACCTCCGCCTCCCAGGTTAAAGTGATTCTCCTGCCTCAGTCTCCTGAGCAGCTGGGATTACAGGCATGCGCCACCACGCCTGGCTAATTTTTGTATTTTTAGTAGAAATGGGGTTTCACCATGTTGGCCAGGCTGGTCTCGAACTCCTGACCTCGTGATCTGCCCATCTCAGACTCCCAAAGCGCATTACAGGCATGAGCCACCATGACTGGCCTCAAAAGAAATTTAAACTTATATGTCCTCTAACTGCAGTAAGCAAGCATAAAGTGGTTGAAAACACACACTCTAAAGCCTGGGATTGGCCGGGTGTGGTGGCTCACGCCTATAACTCCAGCACTCTGGAAGGCTGATGTGGACGGATCACCTGAGGTCAGGAGTTGGAGACCAGCCTGGCCAATATGGCAAAACCGTCTCTACTAAAAATACAAAAATTAGCTGTGGGTGTGGTGGTAGTGCCTGTAATCCCAGCTACTAGGGAGGGTGAGGCAGGAGAATCACTTTAACACAGGAGGTGGAGGTTGCAGTGAGCTAAGATCGCACCACTGCACTCCAGCCTGGGTGACGGAAGACTCCATCTGGGAAAAAAAAAAAAAAAATAGCCTGGGATCAATTCCTGACTCTGTCACTTTCCAGCTGTGTGTGACCTTGGGCAAGTTACTTACACTGCTGTGCTCAGTATTCTCACTTATAAAATTGGGAAAATAGTAAGGCTGTTGGGAGTATTAAATTACTTGATATATGAGTAAAGTACTTAGAAAAATGTCTGTGTGGAAATCACAATGCTAGCTGTTCACATTACGCTACTGCAGTTATTTTACTAAGAGTATACAAGAAGAGATATCTATAGCATATTCATCCCATTTTACACGTAATTTTCATGGATTGTAAGTTTCAACTATAAATCAAATAAATTCTGTCTCAGGAAATGGACTGTTTTCTCCTCAGTTTTAAGTAAGTTTAATTTATCCAATCCACCACTCTATGACTATATGAACAGGCTATCTCTTTTGATAATAATAGCAATTCAGCACCTTCTGTCAAATTAATATCGCTGCAAATGGATCAGATAATAAAATGGAGCACTAAAGCAATTCTGTGCACAAAATAAATAAGAAACCTGAATGCCCTGACAATGGTTCTACAATGAACATCAGAAAATTCTAAGCTAAACCACTGGTTCAACTCACTTTCTGGGTTAAAGAGACAAATAAAAGAAGTATCAGAGGGAGGTGTGAATGTCACCGAAAGATAGAGAAGATGAAAGTGTTGAAAGGAGCTGCCATTGCTGACTCAAAGCTGAAACCACCTCAATAGAAATAGAGAAAACAAATTTAGTTTCTTAAAAGGCAGCCCTGAAAATCACAAGAGAAAAAGAATATATGCTACAGAACAGATGATTCTAAATTATTCTAAATCATTCCAGGTTGATAAACATACCCAGTGAGACTAAGTTATCGTAATTCTCCATCATCACCTCCTGGTACAAGGTCTTCTGAACCAGGTTGAGATATTCCCACTCCTGATGAGAGAAGTCTATGGCCACATCCCCGAATGTTATCGATTCCTGAAACAGCAAATCGAAACAGCAAACCCACGTATTACTGGGGAAATTAAAGAAAAGACTTAAAAAATGGAATAGAGGGGCCGGGCGCGGTGGTTCACGCCTGTAATCCCAGCACTCTGGGAGGCTGAGGCGGGCGGATCATGAGGTCAAGAGATTGAGACCATCATGGCCAACATGGTGAAACCCCGTCTCTACTAAAATACAAAAAATTAGCCAGGCGTTGTGGTGCATGCCTGCAGTCCCAACTACTTGGGAGGCTGAGATAGGGGAATCACTTAAACCTGGGAGGTGGAGGTTGCAGTGAGCCGAGATCAGGCCACTGTACTCCAGCCTGGGCAACAGAGCGAGACTCTGTCTCAAAAAAATTAAAAGAAAATGGAGTGCATGGCCAGGCGCAGTGGCTCACACCTCTAATTCCAGAACTTTGGGAGGCCGAGGCGGGTGGATCACCTGAGGTTGGGAGTTCAAGACCAGACTGACCAAGATGGAGAAATCCTGTCTCTACTAAAAAAAACACAAAATTAGCCAGCATGGTGGAACATGCCTGTAATCCCAGCTACTCAGGAGGCTGAGGCAGGAGAATCGCTTGAACCTGGGAGGCGGAGGTTGCGGTGAGCTGAGAATGTGCCATTGCACTCCAGCCTGGGCAACAAGAGTGAAACTCCGTCTCAAAAAAAAAAAAAAAAAGAAAAGAAAAAAGAAAAGAAAAACGAAAATGGAGTGGAGGAGATGAAGGACTGCATTGCAGCAGAAGAGCAAGATAACCAGCACACAGACCAGAAATATATGCTATCAGGGAAGGGAATGAAGTAGAATTTACGCATATTTTTGAAGAAGCTTGAAACACAGACAAAACTTTCTGCCTGTTCTGGGACACTTCTTAGGTATCTGACCCTTTTGAAAATGACAAAATAATTTAGTTTTCTATTAAACTAAATCATTATTATGCACATAACGCCCTGGTGGTATCTGCCTCATAAATTCTCAATCAATGTATGTTAACTGAGGAATATTTTGACTTGGAAGAGAATTTAAATTTTTAATTAAGAGATGTTTTATGCAAAATATGGTACAGATTCTCAATTTTAGAAAACTAGGTTTCCTGTGACCTCGTGGTGCAACAGTAGTGCATCTGACTCGTGTGTCTGACTCCAGAAAACTAGGTTTCCTTAAAATTAATAATCTCTTCAAGCATCAAGTACTTCATTACGTCAAATCTCACCATGAGCATTTTTGTTTGTTTTGACAAAGGATTTTATCATGACATCATTGTTTTATGGTATTTGTTTTTCAGGACTTTTTATCCAGATCCACGACTTCTGTGTTTACAAGTTCCAATTCAATAGACTAATCACACGAAGAATCACACGGAGCATGAGATTTTATCCTACCTGAAGATTTAGATCCTTCAGTGCCAATTTCCACCTTATCTAGCTGAAAAACTCAAATGTCTGGAAAATTTCAAAGACTTCCCATGGATGGTCAAATGGAACTGTTGTCTCAATTGCAACAAATAACAAAACCGACCTGAAATGCGTATATCTGTACTCAAAGAACTTGACTCCTTTCCTCTGTATCACTGCCCAAAATAGAAGAATGGGCACCTAGAGGACATTGAGTAATTTGATCAATAACAACATGAACGCTAGTGAATTTGCAGTGGCCCACCTAGCGAGGATGCTGGGTGACGTGGTATATATTTTACGGGAAGAATGAGAACTGGGGATTAGGTTAACTGAGCACCCTCTCACAAAGGTAACTTCAGAAAAAATGATGAAAAGACGTACATGACCTAAAAAATCACACACACACATCAACATGGCGAGAAATATCAACTTACACAGGCCATGGTTTGAGACTGGCAAGAGTTGATCAGTCCTCAGGGTTTCTCTACCAGAAGAGCAAAGTCAAAAAACCAAGACCTGAAAGAAGAGAAGACCTTGAGACCAGTTGTGCTTCAGTGTTCCCCACAGGACTCAAGGTAATAGTGCTGTTTTCCTCTTTCATTCCAAGTTCCAAACTACCTCCTCTTACATACAATTTGGGAAGATTAAGATTCTGGATAAACCCATTTCCTCCCTGACTACCCAAGGGTCTCACCTACACAGAGTCATACATCAGAAACATACTGTCATGGAAACCAGACCCAGATAATTCAGTGGGAAATGTTCTGGCCAGTGTATGATGTTGGGGAGGCAGATGTGGACCTCAGATTAGGCAGCTCTGTCCTGCTTTGAGCAGACCTACCTCTTTCCATTCCCTCCTTTAAGGGTAAAAACAGGGCACATCATCCATATCAGAACCTCTTTTTAGTCTTGAAATTGGGTGAAATTGGTCAAGATATTGGAGACAGATAGTGACTGTTCAGCGTTCTGAGCCAGCAAAGCTTCCTAGTTAAATATATAACAGACTATCACTGTCCTAGAATACAAAGTAGTCATTAAATGTGAAACTGAGAAAAATTCAAGGGCATGAAAAATACCAGAAACAATGTCAACAGAAAGATCACACTGACCAATACGTTTATTTTTGTAAAATATATAGATACACATCCATCAATACAGAGAGAAAGGCTGACAGACAGATAATCATAAAATAGGCAAGGTGGCATGCACCTGTAGTCCCAGCTACCCGGGAGGCTGAGGCGAGAGGATCACTTGAGCCCAGGAGTTCAAGGTTGCAGTGAACCATGATTGTGCTACTGAACTCCAGCTCGGGTGACAGAGCGAGACTCTGTCTCCAAGAAACAAAAAAGTGCTTATAGTTATAGTGCTTATATCTCACTTCGTATTCCATTTTGGCTCAATACATGAAACAACTAAATAAAGCTAAAGGAAAAGTAAATAAACCTTTGCTTAGCAACTTCCCAAAATCAGAGTTTGATAAATAGCATTCCCTATACTTTTGTGTGGCTCTTGATTTTTTCATTATTAATGTTTCCTTCATAATTATTGTAAGCATGGACATATTAACTTGAAACGTGTACGTGTTTCCAATTTGTTAAGGTGGCAATTTCAACAAAATTATGTTTTCTCTAAATTTAAAATCATTTTACTGAATGGCTTATCTTCTGTGGGTTTTTTTGGGTCGCCAAACCTAAACTCACTTCATCACTGGTTCTTAGATATGTTAGAATTGTGTCTCCAACAGCATGGGGAACTGTCCCTGAGTAATCTTCTCTGTGAATGGATGATGGCCTCAATACAGCTTTATTTCAGGTCTTCTTAACAGAAGGGTTTATTTTTTTCCTAAATCTGGCAGGTAGGTCAGGATATCCTCCAGATAGCTGCTGAATTTCCTCATGCAATTAATTTTGCTTTCCATCCAATATTAATACAGTGAAAACTACAAGGTTTAAAAGATACAGCACAAACCTGTTTATCACCATACACAGCCCATAGACTCAGTATAATTTGTTCATAGCCTGACTATTGCTATAGTCAGACTGATGTCTTTGTTATGTGACATCACCACATAGGTCACCTAAATCTCTCCAAATGGACTCTATCACATACTGCCTTAAACTTCCTCCTATTCAGATTTGATTTGCCTTCATAGATTATATTTCAAAGGAAGCAACTCTATCTTTTCAGTGATTGTCCCATTTCAAATGCTACAATTTTCAAGTGTGGCATACTAGAAGCACTTAATAAAAGTCTGATTTTTTTTTTTTTTTTTGGAGACAAAGTTTTGCTCTTTTGCCCAGGCTGGAGTGTAGTAGCGTGATCTCGACTCACTGCAACCTCTGCCTTCCGGTTTCAAGCGGTTCTCCTGCCTCAGCCTCCAGAGTAGCTAGCTGGGATTACAGGTTTGTGATGTCCCTTATGCCCATAAGGGCATTGGTCTACAGACAGTACGCCAATAACTGAGAATTTCTACTTTGGAAAACTTAAATTCTGGCTCACTTCCTTCACAACACAGTTAAGTTCATATTCTTGTTGCTTTTGATCTACAGAAATCCAAAACGGAATATCCAAAATTGCCTCATAATACTTAGCGCTTACGTTTCCCCCCTCCAAGACTACAGGCGCATAATTTCATACACATAACCAGAAGGAAGTATGTTGGATGGAATCTGCAATCATCCTTCACTGCAGGTTCTTAGGGTCAGAATTCAAGAAGGCGGTGTCTGTTAAACATGTAAATGAAACTCCAAGAACCGGGAGATGGGGGCGGAGCAACAACCCTTTTCAGGAGGGAATCCTACACTCGAAACTGACAAACTCTGCCAAACTTTAGTCAGGCTATTACATCTTCAGCTAGGTCCATCTGTACACTTCACTGTAAAATCTGGCTATAGCAAAGAACTATTCTAAGTCAGTTTAGCAAGACCCCCTTCGCCTCTGTATCTTCATCCTCCACCGTCCCCCAGGTGATAAAGTCTTATGACCCAGGTCTCTCTCTCTCCAGAAATAATCCTTTTAGCTGCGTTTAGTCAGAATCTTCCTTAACCCAGACATTTCCTCTTACTAATTTCTCATCCAGTGATCCCTAACCTTCTTGGCTATAAATTCCCACTTGTTCATGCTGAATTCGGAGTTGAGCCCAATGTTTCTTACCCACTGCAAAATCCCACAGCCGGGATCCCAATACCTACCACGATGGTCCTGAATAAAGGCTTATTTGCATGCTTTAATAAGTGTCACCGAATAATTTTTTATTTAACAGCATCTATCATACCTGTCTTAAGGGCAATTACTCCTCTAAGCTTCCCATCCTATCTGCTTCTTCTCACTGGAAATCTTCATCTAAGACTCAGTATCTGATTTCCCACTAGAACCATTTCTCTGTTGTAGTCGTACTGTAGGCTGAGAAAAAGGCACAGGAAGCAGCAGGGAACCTGGAGCCAAGAGTCAGTAGACCCCCACAGAACCCTGCGAAGCACGCTTTGCAAAGGACACGCACGGCATGTCCAGGTAACACAAGGTCGACCACGCACCCCTCACAGTCCCACAACTGCACCCGCGTCACACAGGCACGCCGGTCCTGTCGCCGCTGCGCGGTCTCTCACGCTCCCCGCCTGTCTCCTAGAGACGGGCCCCTCCTCCGCATCTCCAGCACCCTAGGGCCTGAGGAGGCGGGAGACTCGCCCGGCCCGCGCCTGGGGCCTCCGTGCTCTGAGCGCCTCCTGCAGCCCTACTCTCACCGCCACGCAGGGTCCCACGCGGGCGGCGGGCTGGGGCTGCAGAGGCTCCCGCAGTGACCTGCGCCGCCTTCTTCAGGTGAAACAAAGTCTCGCGCAGCGCAGAGCCAGAGGTCCCGGAACGGGAGCCAAGGGTCGGAGTTTTCTCCGTTGCCTGTGGAATATGTAGTCCAGGCCAGAACTGTCAGGACTGCAGGCACGGGTGAGAAGTGGGGTCCAGAGTCCTAAAAACCTACGAGAAATACGGCGGTGACCACTGGGATGGCGCGCCCCTCCCAACGCCCGAGCCCCGGAGACTTCTGGGAGTGGCCGCCTTGCCTAGGAGTGCGCATGCGCAGATCCGCCGCTACTGGGGCCCCTGACATGAGGTTTAGGGTGGAGTTAGTGCGTTCTCAGGGCCAGTAGGAGGCAAGTCTGAGTGGAAAGCGATCCAGGTAGCCTCGGAAGGGATCACCTGCTGGATGGGTGTGAGCTCCTCAGGGTGGGGCGCCGAAACCGTCAGGGCCCCTGAGATGGCGCCGGCCTCCTTGGTAACACTTGGGACCGGGACTTTTAATACCACTCGACAGGCCCAGCTTGTCTCATCAAGTGCTAGGTAAATGGACTCACGTCCTATACGAGGATTTGAAGTTCCATCACATTTTTCAATACATGACATTATTATGTTCTTCATCTTTGGACACGAATACATTTGACTAAAAACTTGACTAAAAAAATCATCTGAAGAAATAACTGCTAAATAGTTTTATTATTTTTGTTCTGGGATAGGCTTCTTAAACGTAAAATAAGAAATTAAAAAAAGTTTTTTGAATCTTCATGTAATACTTTGTAAATCTTGATAGTAACTTATAAGCATCCAAAATTTCCAAATGGTAAAGAATATAAGAAAAATTTTTAGGTAAGTAAATTTTGGGGAAATATTTACAACAGCTAAAACGGACAAATAGATAATAGTCCGGATTTCCTGTTTCTTTGGCTTAATAAAATATTGATGAATACAGGCCGGGCACGGTGGCTCACGCATTTAATCCCAGCATTTTCGGAGGCCAAGGCAGGAGGATCAGTTGAGGCCAGAAGTTCAAGACCAGCCTAAGAAACATAGTGAGACACCCCTCTTCTCCTCCCAAACTCTACCAAAAACAAACGTTAGCCTGGTGTGGTGGCATACGCCTGTGGTCCCAGCTACTCCAAAGGCAAAGGTAGAAGGATCAGTTGAGCCTGGGAGTTCAGGCTTCAGTGAGGTATGATAGTGTCGCCGCACTCTAGCCTGAGCAACAGAGCAAGACCTTGTCTCAAAAAAATGAATACATAAAATTAATTTTAAAAATAAAAAATATTCGTCTGTACTCTAAGAGGAAAAGGAACAAAAACTAAAAATTGACCATTCAAAAATACAAATAGTCAAGGAAAAAAAACTATTAAAGTTACAGTCTAAGAACTTATTGATCACTTATTTCTTCTCTTAATTAGTTCTTGGATTTGTTGCTCCTGAATCTCCTGAGTAATCCCTCAGAAATACCACACATAGATCAATGGATTAAATTGATTCCACATATTATTTTCTTTTTCTTTTTTTTTCTTTTTTTTTTTTGAGATGGAGTTTTGCTCTGGCGCGATCTTGGCTCACCGCAACCTCCACCTCCCAGGTTCAAGTGATTCTCCTGCCTCAGCCTCCTGAGTAGCTGGAATTACAGGCATGCGCCACCACGCCCGGCTAATTTTGTATTTTCAGTAGAGACGGGGTTTTACCATGTTGGTCAGGCTGGTCTTGAACTCCCAACATCAGGTGATCCTCCCGCCTCGGCCTCCCAAAGTGCTGGGATTGTAGGCGCGAGCCACCGTGTCTGGCTCCACATGTTATTTTCAACAAGGATACCAAGGCAATTTAAGGAAGGGAAGAGTAGTCTTTTCAACAAAGACTGGAACTAGAGATGCACACAGAAAATAATGAATTGAGTTCCCTGCCTCTCACCATATACAAAATCAACTCAAAATGGATCAAACACCTAAGTGTAAGCATAAGACTTAAAACAGTAGAACGTTTAGAAGGAAATGTAGGCATAGATCTTCTGGACTCTATAGTCAGCAATTGTTTCTTAACTGTGACATCAGAATCACAAGCAACAACATCAAAAAAGGAAATTGGACATAAATTGTAAAACATTGTGCTTCAAAATCCACCAAGAATGTGAGAAGCTACCCAAAGAATGAGAAAAATTGTTTGTAAACTATGTATTCAATAAGGGATTTGTATCTAGAATATACAAAGAAGTCTTGCAACTCAATAATAAAAAGCCCAACAAAAATGGGCAAAGTAATTAAATAAGTATTTCTCAAAAAAAAAAAAAAGTATACACACGGCTACTAAATACTTGAAAACATGTTCTATATTAATCATCAAGAATATGCAAATCAGTCAGGAGCAGTGGCTCATGCATGTAATCTCAGCACTTTGGGAGGTCGAGGCAGGAGGATTGCTTGAGCCTAGGAGTTTGAAACCAGCCTGGGAAACAAAGAAAAAAGACTATGTAAATCAAAACCCCCAAAACACCAATGAAATATCAACTCATACTACTTAGGATGACTAAAATCAAATAACAAATTCTGGATAGGATTTGGAGAAATAGAACCCTACATATATTGATGGTGGCACTGGAAAATGGTAGAGCTATTGTATAAACAATCTGCCAGTTCCTCAGAAGAATACAGAGTTACCATACAACATAGCAGTTTTAGTCCTAGGTATATTCTCATGACAAATTAAAACCATATGTTCTCACAAAGCTTATACGCAAATATTTACAGCAGCATGATTCATAATAGCCAAAAACTGGAAAAGAAAAACCCCAATTGTTCTTCATTTCATAAGTAGATAAGTAAAATGTGGCATATCTACACAGTGGACTATTATTTGGTAATATAAGGAAATGAAAATCTGATACAAGCTACAACATAGATCAACTTTGAACACTATTCCAAGTGAATGAAGCTGGTACAAAAGACCACGTATTTATGATTTCTACTATGTGACATTTCTTCTCATATAAAATTTCCAATGTGGGCTAATTTATAGAGACTGAAAGTAAATTGTTTCCTAAATTGAAGGGTGGCAGGAGGTGGCCAAAGGCTGTAGGCTTTCATGCTGGCGTGATGAAAATGTGCTAAAATTGACTGTGCTGAAGGTTTCATAACATTGTGACTACATTAAAAACCACTGAATTTTACACTTTAAATGAGTGAATTGGACGGAATGTGAATTATATACAAAGTTGTTACCAAAAGAAATAAAAAAGAAATACAGACTTTTCAACAGGTAAAAACTGAGAGCATTTGTTACTAGCAGATCTTCTTTATAAGAAATGTTAAAGAAAATTCTTGAGAGAGAAACAATAGGACAGAATCAGAAATTTGTATCTAAACAAGAAATGAAGAGTCAGAATTAAAGTTAATGGAAGCAAAACCATTTTTTTCTCATAGTTTCTCTGAAAGATAGTAATAATGTTATTATTTTTTTTTAATTTTTTGAGATAGAGTCTCACTGTGTCGCCCAGGTTGGAGTGCAGTGGCATGATCTCAGTTCACTGCAACCTCTGCCTCCCGGATTCAAGCAATTCTTCTGCCTCAGTCTCCTAAGTAGCTGGATTACAGGCCCGGCGAATTTTGTATTTTTAGTAGAGACGGGGTTTTACCATGTTGATCAGGCTGGTCTTGAACTCCTGACTTCAAGTGATCCACCCACCTTGGCCTCCCAAAGGGATTACAAGGCATGAGCCACTGAGCCCAGGCTATCTTACTGTTTTTAAAAGACAGGGTCTTGCTCTGTTGCCCAGGCAGGAGTGCAGTGGTGCAATCACAGCTCATAGCAGCCTCGACCTCCCAGGCTCAAGAGATCCTCCTACCTCAGCCTCCTGAGTAGCTAGGATTATAGGTGTGCATCACTACATCTGGCTAATTTTTAAATTTTTTTTGCAGAGACAGGGCCTCACTGTATTGTCCAGGTTGATCTCAAACTCCGGGGCTCAAGTGATCCTCCCATCTCAGCCTCTCAAAGTGTTGAGATTACAGGTGTGAGCCACTACGCCCTGTTCAATCATGTTTTAAGCAATTTAAATAATAAGATATATTTACCCACATATTAGCCATATCCTATGTAGGTCCAAATTTCCATCTGATATCACTTTCCATTTGTCTGAAGAACCTTAACATTTCTTAAAAGCATTAATCTATTCTCTCATCTTTTAGATGCCTAAAAAATCGGACATCCACAAATTTTCACCTTCATACAAAAGTATTTTCACATTATACAGAATTCAAGGTAATATTTTTCATTTCTGCACTATATAAGAATTTTGAGGCCGGGCGCCATGGCTCACGCCTGTAATCCAAGCACTTTGGGAGGCCGAGGCAGGCGGACCATGAGGTCAGGAGATCAAGACCATCCTGGCTAACATGGTGAAACCCTGTCTCTACCAGAAACATAAAAAATCACCTGGGCGTGTTGGCAGGCGCCTGTAGTCCCAGCCACTCGGGAGGCTGAGGCAGGAGAATGGCGTGAACCCAGGAGGTGGAGCTTGCAGTGAGCCGAGATGGCGCCACTGCACACTCCAGCCTGGGGGACAGAGCGAGACTCCATCTCAAAAAAAAGAAAAAGAATTTTGCTCAACTGTCTTCTAGGTTATGTTGGTTTCAACATGAAATACTTTTATTTTTGCATTTGTTCCTCTCTATATAGTCTCCTTTCTCTGCTGACTTATTCTTTATCACTATTTTAAAGCAATTAGATTATGATCAGTCTTTGTTTAGATTTCTACATTTCTTGTGATTAGAATTCATTGAGTTGCTTCAATTTGTAAGTCTACAGTTTTCACCAATTGGGAAAATTTTTAAGCCTACTAATCCTTTTCCTGCAATGTCTAATCATTTCTCCAGAGTATTTTACATATCAGACATTGTAGTTTTCATTTGTAGATGTTTAATGTGGTTTTAAAAAAATCTCACATGATTCTCCTAAAAGTGCTTATATTTTGGCCAGTGGCTTACACATGTAATCCCAGCAGTGTGAGAGGCTAAGGCAAGACCCTGTCTCTACTAGAAAATACAAAAAATTAGCTGGGCATGGTGGTGCATGCCTGCAGTCCCAGCTACTAGGGAGGCTGAGGTGGGAAGATCAACTAAGCTCAAGAGGTCGAGGCTGCAGTGAGCCATGATTGGGCCACTGCACTCCAGCCTGGGCCAAAGAGTGATACCCTGTCTTAAAAAAAAAAAAAAGTGCTTACATTTTGGTCTACCTTTGTCAGCATATGAAATATCATTATAATTGTTCTGAGAAGCTATCAATTCTAGTATGTGAGACAATTTTGATTAATCAATTTTGCTTCTCCTTGTGTATCATGTTTTCCTGGTCCTTTGCATGTCTTGTTTTTTTTTTTTTTTGAGATGGAGTCTCGATCTTGTTGCCCAGGCTGGATTGCAATAGTGTGATCTCTGGTCACTGCAACCTCCACCTCCCAGGTTTAAGCGATTCTCCTGCCTCAGCCTCCCGAGTAGCTGGGATTACAGACATGCACCACCACACCTGGCTAATTTTTTGTATTTTTAGTAGAAATGGGGTTTCTCCATGTTGGTCAGGCTGATCTGGAACTCCTGACCTCAGGTGATCCACCCACCTCGGCCTCCCAAAGTGTTGGGATTACAGGCGTGAGCCACTGCACCCACCTGTCTTGTAACTTTTGATTGGATGCTAAACATTGAAATGTTACCTTGCCAGGTATGCTGATATATTTTTAAAGTATTTTTGAGCTTTGTTTTGAAATGTAGTTCACGTACTTGAAAACAGTTTGATCTTTTTCATTGGTTCTTTTTCAGCTTTGATAAGGCAGGACCAGAGCAAAACTAATTAGTCCAAAGCTAATTTTTCCTCTCTGTTAAGACAGTACCCGTCTGAGTACCCAAGGTCTTGTGAATTATGAGGGTTTTTCCACTTTGGCTATCGGTAACACTTGCTATTCCTGGACTTGTTGGAGCTATG